CCAACGATGGGGAGAATCACCCCCGGCTTTACCCACGGCTCCGGCAAATTGTAGCCTGGTTCAGGAGAAGACAAGAGGCTAAAAGAAATTCTCATTTTTGAGTATTTGAGAAACACAGTCTTGCCATCAAGGCCAGCACTGGGAGCTCAGCGGCTGCTTTGCCTCCCCCGGCCGCTCCTGCGTGTCCTGCTCAGTTGGAGGGGTTCATCAGCGGCAACTCTTCTCCGTCCTCCGTCAGGTTTGTCAGCTGCAAGGAGGACGTTTCCGCGGGGAAGAGGGTGGCGTGTTGGGCCCCGTCCCTCGCGCGATGCCCCTGTTCACGTAGTGGGAACCGCGGTGGTGCTGAATAGCGCCGGGCTGGGCGCAGAGAAGGAGCTGAAGTGGGACCACGAGGGTCCGGCCGCCATCACACACCGGGGCTGTGCTCTAACCCTGCCCTAACCCTTGCTGAATTATTTCCGAGTGGTTTTATCCTCCAACAAGCCAATCCAGTTGCCGTGCCAGCTGCCTTCCCTGCTCCCGGGCTGCCTCTGCTCGGGCTCGGCTTGTATTTTAAGCGTGGCTGGGTGTGCGCGGGCTCTGGGGGGGGAAGGCAGGAGCTTTCCTGGCTGCGTAGGAGGAGGGGGCTGTCCTCGCACCGGCCCTTGGACCCATGCTCCCATCAAAGGCCTCGTTGCCCCGAGGCGGGGGGTGACTGGTGCGGCACTCGTGTTTGGAAAATGACTGGCTCCGCGTCCAGGCCTTGAGTCACCGGTTCACGCCGTTGTGGGTTGTTGTTTTCCGTTCGCAAAGCGCGAGCGGTGACCTGCTGTTTATTTATAACTCGGGGAGCGTCGCTTGTTGGGAGACCGAAGAGCCGAGCTCTGGGACGGGGTCTCTGCCTCTGCGGGCACAAGGCTTGATTTGAACAAGCTGTTCTCAAAGAACTTGGCTGTTTTGCAGCAGTTTGGTAAATAAACAGCTCTGCTCTCTCACCAGCAGCTCTCTTCCTCGGTAGGTTTAACCGCGCTGGCTTGCTGGCTGGTTTTATTTCTCACTTGTTTTACTTTGTTTTACTTGAGCTGTTGTGCTCTGCCTGCATAGTGGTCACTGCTGGGAAACCATGTGAGTTTTTTTCTGCTGTAGATGTGTTTGTCTCTGCGTTTCCACATCCGTCCCCTCTCTTATCCTTTCAAGATCACAAGGAACAGTCGTGACTTTCCAGGATCTGCCTGGAAGCACTTTGGTGTCCTCCGGTTCCTTCTAGAGCCGGCTAGCCCAGCGCCAGGGCTGCCGGTCCGATTTTCCCCGTGTTTCACCGAAGACTCGCGTTAGGTGAAATCCGTCTCGGAGCTGGTTCGTTGCACTTGTTATTCAGGAAAATGCTGTCCCAACAGAAGCGGTGCCGTGTGGATTCGCCACGCTGGAACAAACTGGTTGGACTGGTCGTGGTGGGAGTGGAGAGCCCCGTGGTGAAGGCGGTGGGTGTCCTCGGCGTCTCGCCTCCTGCAGACGCTGGGAGAGGCAATGCCGGCGAAGGAGCATGTGTTTTGGGGGAATACCGCTGACTCAGTAAAACCTGGATGAAATCTTTGCGAAAACATGGGTTGCCCCCTCCCCTGCGACCGGCTGGGGACACCAGGGTAGCTGACACCGAGAGCAGGGACAGCGGGTGCAGTCCTGGAGCTGAAACACCCACACTGCCTGTCTGGCCGTGAGAAATGCCACCCCGTGCCCACGGCTTGCTTCTCCCACCCCTGGGGCTCTGCCCCCAGCTCTTACACCTTGAATTTGTCTTGGGTGGGACGCGGTGTTTGTTTGCAGGGTGTGTGCAGGACGTGGTGGGAAAGGGGCAGCGGCTGCCCGGCCCCGGGGAGCCTGGTGCCGCCTGAACCCCCCATACGGAGGGCAGAGATGGGGACAGCTCTCTGTGGTCCTTGTCAACCACTGCTGTCACTTAGGTGTCCCCTCGCCTCCCCCCCAGCAGCGCCTGGAGCTTGTGAGCCAGAGGTTAACGTTCCTGTAATCACTGCGCTCCCCCATTTCTGTGTTGCAACCCAAAGAGAGGAAATCTCATGACAAGTCGTGGCGAAAACAGTTTCCTTTCTATGAAACTGCGCGTGAACTCTGGAAACACTGAGGATCGATCCGAGGTTCGTCCCCAAAGAGCTCTCGACCTGCTGCTCCAAGCGGGACTGGCTGGTGTGGTGTGTACATGAGCTGCTCCAGATTTGGGCTGCTCCAGGTTTGAGCTGCTCCGGATTTGGGCTGCTCCAGGTTTAGGCTGCTCCGGATTTGGGCTGCTCCAGGTTTAGGCTGCTCTGGATTTGGACCACCCTGGATTTGGACCACCGTTGCCTTTGGCCATGGCTGTGTAGGAGCTGCTCTGCAAACCAGGTTTCTGCCCTGGTCTGATGGCTCACAGTGGAGGGAGAGGGGCAGGTTGAGGCTGTCAGCTCTGTTTGGGGGAAAGCTGTGGGGTTTTTGTGTTGGCTGGGAAATAAAACCTGAAGTATCGATGCCATATGAAGGCCGTTGTCTGCCATGGACATGCCCAAACGCTGCTGTCAGCTGCTGGGCTCTGTCCTCCTCGACCTGGACGGCAAGCACTTCCGACTCAAGGGAATAAATTTCTTCTCTGACTTCTCGCATCCTTAGAAAGCTGTACGGTGGTAGCTGGTGCTGGAGTGCCTCTTGGACCCTTTCCAGCACCAGGATGCTGTGTTTGAGCTGGGATGCAGCCGCGCGGCGGGCGTCTCACTGACAGCAGCGTGCTTTGCTCACAGAGCTTCCAGGCACGGCTTGGTTTCGGCAGACTGCTCCCAAGAACAGGGCAGGAGGCCAAAAGTCTGAAGTCAAAGGTCTCTTGTTGTCTGCAAACACCCTGCAGTTGCAGATGACCCCAGCGAGGCTGCCGCTGCCTGCTTAGCTCCGGTTTTGCCAGGATTTTCCATAGCGGGAGGGCACCAATTTTCCTCTCTTTGCCGCCAAAGGCAGCTGCAGCAGAGCAGCCCTCCCATCTGCACCCCCCAGGAGCAGGGAGATCCTGGGCGGTCCAGCATCTGCCTCTGAACAGAGCAACCGTAAACCTGATGGAGAACCACCGTCCTTCCTTCCCGGCTTCCCAGACAGCTCCGTGCCACCATGGCGAGCGCCCGGGCACCTCCAAGAGGGTCTGTCCCGACTGGGTTTGGCAGCAGCATCACTCCTCCGGCGAGTACCAGCAGGATGAGCTGCTGTCACCTCTGCCCAGGGTCTGCTGGGGGTGTCACCCCTCTGTCTGGGCCACCTTGATGCCATTGGCGTGGTTTTTGGATTCCATCGTCCAGGCTGCTGGCGCCTGGGCATTGCGGGTGATGGAGAAACAGAAGGGAAGCAGTCCCCGGCCCTGCGTCCATCGCTGCTGGCTTGACTGGCCCGGCATCTCGCCCAGGTTTAGGGCAGATTGCAAGGGTTAATTACTCCCTCTTGCAAGGGTTAATTACTCCCTCTCGGTCTCTTGGCCGTGCTCTGTTTTGCCTGAAACTCCCCGGGAAGCGTGGCGTGTTTCGATGTGGTCGTGGGTCCATCCCAGCGTGAATCCAGCAGCGGTCTGGCCGCGAGCGCTTGCGAAATGCCTCGGTGCATGATCCCTTCGCGTGGCAGGTGAGTTAGATGTAAACCGAACGGGTACTCAGACCTGCTCCTCCTCCTTGTCCCAAAGGTGACATGTGAAGGCAGCGCCCGGCGTGGGGAGCGGCAGCAGCTGAGATGCATTCGAGCCACACCGATGACCCCAAGGAAGCCATACAGGTGAGCAAGACGCCCCAATGCTCCCCAAATAGTTCCAGGTACTCCCCAGTGCAACTCCAGTTACTGGTGGGGATGCGGGCAAGACCCAGAGCATCACTGCTCTGTATATTTGGGGTTTCCTTACCCAGCTTTGGGAGTCTAAACACATTTAACGAGCAAAGTTCAAACCCAGCGGTTCAAACCGAGTGTTTAATTCATCCCACAGCAGAATTAATTCATGCGTGACAGATAAAATCATTTGCACTCTTTAATCCTGTTAGCTCACGGTTGCTGCTTGCAGGCAGGTTGCTTGTGCTAGCAGATCCACGGGGCAGCTGGAAAGCAGCTCCTGCTGCAAGGAGTATCCCCTGATACGGGCAGGGTGAAGGTGCTGTTGTCCTTGAACTAGAGCTGCTGGAAATCTTATTTAAATGCTGAAAAAAATATCCCGGGCTAGAAATTTAATAGGGGTTTGTGCAGCCAACCCAGGCTCGAGCCAAAATCTGCCTTGCCCCAGTCGCAGCAGCTGATGCCGTTCAGCGTTCATCTTGAACACTGCGTGATTGATGCCGAAACGTGAATTGTTTGATTGAGTCCCGGCTGAATTTGCAATATTTGCCAAATGCCTGCTGGGAAGTGCAACTTTCATTTTAAGTAAGGTTGATTGAGACATCTGGGCTCGGCTGCGTTAGGAAATAAAAAAGAAAATCCTCTCCACCGGCGTAAAATTGTTAAAGTCACTGAATTTGCTGCTTTTCAACTGGTGTGAGAAGGGGAAGCAAAGCTGCTGGGTGGTAAAATTCCCGTGTTCCTGCTTCAAAGCCCACCAAGTCTCTCCAAAGGCAGCAATTAAACCCCAGCCGTCCTTCCGAAAGCATCTTTTTGGGGGTGGCCCCGTCCCCGGCAGTGCCTGTGGGTTAATCGACACAGCCGAGCTGCCAAGAGCGGGATCGATGGCTTTGATTTCTCCTGGCGGGACTCGTTAGTGCGTCACACGCTGCTCGGGCTGATCTGCACGAGTTCAAGTGGTATTGCAGCCCTTGTTACGGGTTACCTCCTTCCAGTTTCTCGTTTATCACCCGTGCTTAATTAATCCCTGTGTTTCCCCCGAGCAAGCGCCTGGAAAGAGCCGATTCCTTTTTTCCCCCCCATCCTCTTAAGCAATTTGGTGTCTGCGGAGGAAACACCGCACGCTGTAAAGGCAACCCCAGCAGGCCCTGAAACGCTAGCTAAAATTGCATAAATTACTCATTTAAAAGAAAAAAGCCGGATGAACCGTGACGCCAAGAGCATGAGTCCCCAGTTTGACCAGTTCAGCTGTAATGCTCCCCAACAGCCGTCGTGAAGCACGTGGATGAAGCAGGAGTTGCGTGGCGCTTTGCTCTGCGTGAGCCTTCCAGTTTTTGAACCCTTTTATAAGAAATCTTTCCTAATACTTATTTTTTTATCACGCAAATGTGTACGTCCTGTCTCGCAGCTGATCAAGAAGCAACTGGTGAATGCCATCAAGGCGTTGCAGAAGCAGTACGTGACCTCGGATGCCATCGTAACCAGCGACGATGGGAACGCCAACACCCTCTGCAGCGCCCTGGAAGCTGTCTTCGTGCACGGGCTGAAGGCGAAGCACATAAAGACGGAGAGTGGGGGGAAAGGAAAGAAAGGAGGAGGTCGGGGACCGCTTCCCCAGCCGGTCTTCTGGGGGCTGCTGAAGAGCATCACCCATCGGTGAGTGCCCGAAAGGTGTTTGCACGCTCGGGTTTATCCCTTCTCTTTGGTGCAAAAGCCGCAAAATTCAGGGAACGGCAAACAGGAGGATGGCTCGATGGAAAGATGAATCTCTACTCTGTCCCGTGTGCTTGATCCCTTCAGTTGGAGGGAGAGATGCTCTCGCAGGGTGTCCTCGGGGGGCTGCTGAGAGATGCGGGTAGGGAAGCGAAGCCCCTGCGATGCCGGGCTGGGCACCCGGTGCTGGCAGCACAGCCGCTGGCAGCGTGTGCGAGTGGTAAAGTGCCATTTAGGCGTGAGCCCGTGTCTGCAGACAATTCAGGAATGAAACGCTGCTGCCAGCTTAGGGCACACCCCTTTCTCATTTATTTTTGGGTGCCACGTTATATACGGGGACTCGGTGTCGCCGGTGGGACCCTGGTGACCCCACGGCGCGGGGGTCTGGTCTCTCTTCTGACCCTGGGCATGGTTGACATCCATCTCCCCGCGTCCCAACCAGGGTGAACATCGCTGACCTGAGCTTTGAGGAGGTCTCTCGCCTGGGTGACTATTGTTATTTCCTGGGGTTTTTCTGAACCACTCCCGAAGCAGAGTCCTCCCACGCTAAGTAACAGCCCACGCATAAATAGTTTCGAAAGTCTCATCTGACTCCATCACCGACTCTTAAATTATGAAAAAGCAGATGAAAATAACTCTTTCACATGCTAGGGGGGATATTTTTGTGCCCTTTGAAGGTTTTTTTTTTCCTCTTTCGTGAGAGACAGATTAAAAAAAATAAAAGCTTGCAAAACTTTTGCTCTGGTTTTTGTAGCGTCTGCGGCACCGACGTGAGCTGGGGTCAGGGAGGATTAGGGAGCGTGGTGTCGCTGTTGGATTTTAGGGGAGAACGGTTGAAGTCAGGAGGCTGAGATTGTTGGGAATTTTTTTTTTGGGCTGCTGCAGCAGTTTTCACTGTGGTTTTGGCCGATTTTAAATTTGAAGATGGGATTTAAACGTGCAGTTATCACCAAGGAGTATCCAGCCAGAACAAGCCCCACCAATGTGCAGGGACAGTGGGAATTTCCACCTCTGCATCCTTGGTCCAGGGCGAGCGATGCGTGGGAGATGCCTCCAGCCAGAGAGTGGAGGAGCACCCAAAGGCACCCCAGGGATACCTGAGGTCATTGCCAATATATTTAGCTTTGGGGCATTCAGGAGCTCTTTTTTCTCAGTCAGAAACCACATTTTCCATGGAGGAGAGAGATGTTCCACAGCCTTTTTTGACCCAACTCCCAAACTCCCTGCAGCAGAGCAGGTTGGGCAGTTCCTGATGGAGGATCTGCCTCTCCTGCACCCCATGATGGACCAAAACCAGAGCCGCTCACGTTCTTTTCTGTTCTTTCTCTCCCTTTCCCCAGAAATATTGTCTCAGAGCTGGAACAACTCATCTTTATCAATACGGATGTCGGCCGGTGCCGAGCCTGGCTGAGGCTGGCTTTGAACGATGGCCTCGTGGAGTGTTACTTGAAGCTGCTTCTGCGGGAGAGGTCCCGGCTGCCCGAATACTATCAGGCAACCGCTCTGCTCTTAGACGCTGAAGAGTGCGAGTTTCTCCTTAGCTACTTGCAGGGCTTAACGTCCTTAACCTTCGAGCTCTCCTATAAATCGGCGGTTTTGAACGAGTGGACCATCACCCCTCTGTCCCTGTCTGGTCTGTGTCCTGTTTCGGAGCTGCTGGAGCCCCTCACGTCCTCGACATCCGAACCCTGCAGAAAAGCATCGCTGGGTTCGATTTCCCAATCATCAGGGTCAGATGAAATCGAGATTCAACCCTCCGTCCTACCCATTGGCAAAGCCAGCAGCAAAATCAAGCTCACTTCGTCCTCGTTGAGCCTTAACACCACGAGCTCGTCCCAGCTCTCCTCCAGCCTGGGCTCCGACAGCACCCTGCCACCTCACTGCGCCCGCAGTCCCGAGCGGAGCGAGGAGCCGCTCTCCTGTGACTCCGACCTGGGGACGGCCACCGCCGAGGACCTGGACAGGTCGCTGCAAGAGTGAGTCTTTTCCCAGATCTCCTCTTCAAAAGGATTTTTAACCCCTTCCTGGGCTCTTATTTATTTTCTCGCTATAGGCAGGAAGGCTTTCTCCTCTGTTTTTCTTTAACAAGCTGTTTTTTTCCCCTTGGAAGGAGCCTGAAAGGTAAAAAGAAATGCTCAGCACGGCTTGCTGGGACCCTGCTGCCACAGCAAATGAGCTCCTGGCTGCTGAAGTGTGTGTCTGTCCTCTTTACCGGGGCAGAAACGTCAGAAAAATGCTGCTCCTTGGCTTAAGAAAAGTCACATCTCCCTGGCGTACACTGGGGGATGCTCTGGGGCTTTCTGCGGGGCGAAAAGAAAGGAGTTTGCTCACAGGAAAAGGGTTATAATTTGCAGCTTCAGCAGATAATTTAGAGGAGGGAGGTTATTAGTTTGTCATCCTCGTGATTTGTTTCTGCCAAACACCCAGCACAAAGATTTCCAGCAGGTTATATAAGCTCTGAGTAATCAGTAAATATTTTCCCTGCCACCCATAAAGCCTGGCTCCGAAGGAACCTGGCCTCGGGGTGCTGGTTGGCGACAGCACCCTCATCCCGATAAGGGTCTGCAGGAGGGTTTAGAGCTGCAGTCTGTTCTTCCCTGTCGACAACGGCATCGTTACCTGCTTCTAGGATTTTTGCATCTTATGCCGATCCTGGAAGAACCTGCCTTGATTGGATTAAACTCGTGATGGAAAGACGTCGTTTTGAATTTTAATCTCGGGCTGGTTTAATTCGACCTAGCTGGTGGCAGAGCAGGGGCATGGGAACAGCATCTCGTCTGGCCGCGCTCCGCTAATAATTGCTCGTTAACAGTTATGAAAACATTTGAAATTTGGCACATGGTCTGTGGCTGGGTACGTGTCCGGGAACTGTACTTGGGGCTGTGGGGAGCACCCAGCGCTCTCCCTCCCTTCCGAAGCATCCATCAGAAGCGAATTAAACCGCGTTAACAGGCGTAGTTAGGGAACACATCCTTTGCAGGCAGGGTCCTTGCCTGCAGTGGGGTTGACTGCTGCTCTGAGGGCACAGATCACACATTTTTCTGTTGGCCAGACTGATGCCACGGGGATTTTTGCAGCCGTACAATGCTGCCGGCCCGCAGGAGACGAGCAGTGATGCTGAGTCTTTTTTCCCGGTGTTAATAATTTGCAATAACTGGGGGGTTTTATAGGTCCTGGTTAACGTAGCTACGTTCAAACTGGTCACTTTTCTGTTTCCAGGGTGTTGTCCGAGTTCAGTAAAGCCAAGCCAAGCCTGGAAGCCCCGGAGGGAGGGCTGCTCCCCAGCGTGCTGAGCTGCTCCCCACGGCAGCCTGCCTGCCCCCCAGCCCATCGCCACCCATCCCCCCAGCACCGTGCCGCAGAGCTCGCCAGCAACCACCCCCTGACACCAAAACTCCAGGCTCCGCTCGGACGGGCGATGCGGTGACCACCGGCGACGGTGATGGAGATGCAGCACCACAAGCCGGCGGCACAGCCGGCATTTCAACCACGCAGCGTGGCGGTCCGAGCAGAGGAGAGATGGGCAGAAACGGCACGGTCGGCAGCAGCGAGACAAGCCAGGCCGTCCGCAGCCCGACAGCCGAATACCTCCTTTCTCCGCTGCGGGGTTGTCCAGTAGGTGTTAGAGCTCGTTTGCTGTCCATCTCCTTGGTTTTTTGACCAGCAGATCTAATGGAAAAGGAAAACAAAACTGGTGGCATGAGTAGGCACTGGTTTCTCCAAACTCCCATCTTCTGTGCTGCTTCCAGTCTCCCGACAGCAAGTTGGGTGTAAGTGATGCTCCCCTCTCCACGAGCATCTTCCCGGACCCCGTGGAGCTGTGTCCGTGCAGCTGCCCTGGGAGAAATTGGGTTGAAGTCGACATTCCCTGGTAGAAGAGGTACCAAAGCTTTTGAAACCCTGCCTGGCCGGCCAGCCATTCCTCTCCAAGAGCGGCTGCAACAGGAAGTTTTTGGTTTTGTTAACGATATCTGGAAAGCGATGAGCTCTTGCACAAATCTGGCCGTAGGCTGTGTGCAAGCCGATAAAACAGCCTCAGAGTCGAGCTGCTCATGGGGACTTTTCTTTGTTTATGGTCCACATAAGAGAGGGGAAAAGGGAAACAAATTACAGTTTTTCAATGGAAAAATATTTAGGCAGCACATCTGTTCCCAGAGCGGGATGGCATTCCCTGGTGCTTAGGCAAGCGCAGCGGATTTCCCCCGCTGCCGACAAGGAGACGATCCGCTTGCTTTTGCTTTTAGGAAACTCTTTGAACAACCCTGTCTTCTGTCTAATTTGTTACTGATTTTTCCATCCCGGTTCCCATCATTTCCATCCCAGTTCCCATCATTTCCATCCTGGTGAGGTTAGGATATACTTCATACCCCCCTAAACGATTTCTCTTTTTGATCCCTGCTCCTTTCAGCTCCCTCTTAGTTATCCCGTTTCCACTGCTTCCTCGCGGCGTTGGGCCAGTTTGACCTAATCTATGTATAACATACGGTGTCAACAGGAAATTCCCCCCCTGCTTTCGCATGACTCACGGAGCAACCTGCGTTCCTGGTCTGGGACTAAGCCGAGCCTGCCTGGACGTTGGGAGCTGCACCGCAAAACACTCGTGATCCTTGCTGCAGGGTGGTGATGGCTCTTCTGCTGTCATTTAGTTCGTTGTTCAGAATAAAAGGCTCTTGGACAGCAGGGTAGGGTAGTTGAGAGGTCGTTCCTGGTGGGATGCAGCCCTGGAAGGGATGCACTGTGTCTAGGGAAGCTGCTGCCTTTTGCACTGAGCTGGGTCGGGTTTCGCTCCCGGTGTTTGTTCAGAGACCTCGTCCCAGAATCTCGACATGTTCTTGTAGCCAGAAAATCTCCTGGAGAAGTTACAGCCGTATTTTCTTTCAGCTTATCAAGCTTTCTTCCGCTTGTGGGTCTCATCCCCTCCTGACCTACGGAGACAGAGGTTTCCTCTGCCTTCCCTGCCTTACTTTTTCCCTGTGCTGATCAGGCCTGTGTTTGTAGCATCCGCTTATACGCCATAGGTCTCTATTTCATCCTAGACATCGTATCTGTACCTCTCCCCCCACTCTGTTCTTCCCGGAACAAGGATGTCCATACCTTTCCAGAGCAGGGCTGGTTTCTCACTATCAGAAATCCTTCCAGGACCAAATATCTTGTATGTGGTCACTGCAGGGAATGTGCTCTCCCTCTGTGCCCCTCGATGATTTCAGAGGGAGAGAACTGATCAATTTTGGACTTTATAATCCCACCGGTCTATAATCTCGACGTTTGCCAGCTGCCGGCACAGTCCCAGGGAGCGTTCCCTGATGGAGTGGCCGGGGAGCCAGCCCCGTGGGATTTGGTCTGCGTGGGAGCAGCCCCTGTGGAGGGGTCACTGTGGCCATGCGTGTTTGAGGGGCGCAGGGTGTCCAGTAAGTCAATAATTAATATATTTATTAATATTTTTTTAACAGAAAAGAAAGAGCTGGATCTCAGAAGATGATTTCTACAGACCTTCTCCAGGAGACAGGAGCGAAAACACGGCCAACACCAACGGCTTTGGGCCAGAGGGGGCTGGCGAGGGTCCGGCCCCAGGGCTGATTAGCGCTCTTGATTTGGAAAGGCTGTCGGTGCCGTCTTCAGAGAGCAGGAAGCCCAAAACGTCGCCCGAACGGGAGCAAAAGGGCTTCAGCGTTGTGCATCGCAGGCAGATGGGTACGTGCTGCTCTCCCCTCTCCTGCTTTCGTCAAGCTTCTACACTGGGCAGTGCCAAGGGGCTGGGGAGGTGGATTTTCGGGCGATGAGCTGTTTGGGAAACATGGTTTGCCATTGCTGAGCTTGTGCAGGAGTGGCAGCTCCCCTTGGCATTGCTGAGCCCACGATGGGCTGGTGGGAAGCGTTTCAGGAGGAGAGGAGGTATGCTGGGCATCTCTGTCCACCCTGTGGGACATGTTTCTTTATGCCACCCCATTTGTTCTCAGCCTCAAAACCCAAATGCACGTGGACAGATGATGGAGATGAGGAAGGAGGTCCTATAAATTCCTGTCCCATCCCACCATCCACCAGGACCGGTTCTCAAAGCTGTGATGCCTCTGGTTGCTCGCTGTGAGCCGCCTGTTGGCTTTTCTCTCTCCACCAACTTCCCCTTTTTCAGTTAAACTAAGACATCTGCTTTTACCCCAGGTCTTTCCAACCCTTTCCGAGGACTCCTGAAGCTGGGCAGCCTGGAGCGGCGAGGAGCCATGGGGATATGGAAGGAGTTTTGCTGCGAGCTGTCGCCACTGGAGCTCCGGCTCTTCCTGGACCACGAGGACCGCATCTGCGTCGAGAGCTACTCCCTGCTGCGGTGCGAGTCGCTGGCGCTGACGCACTCGGATGGCCGTTTCGAGCTGGTTTTCCTGGGGAAAAAACTCTACCTACGAGCTCCTTCTCGAGACGAGGCTGAGGACTGGTTGGACAGGATCCGTGAGGCGCTGCAGAAGTGCCGGCCTCAGGTGGAGGAGGAGGAGGAGTGGGAGACGCTGGAGTATCCAGAAGATGATGGCGAAGGCCAACCCATCCAGAGCGACTCCGCTGCTCTTCTCCAGTACAGCGATGTGCCTGGGAACAGCTTTGACTGGACTCCAGCTCATGAACCGGAGCTGGATGCAATAAAAGAGGCTGTTCTGTACATGGACGTAGACAAAACCTGGGTCCCCTTTATTTTTTCCCTGTCTCTAGAAACTTTAAAGTGTTTTAAAGTCAGAAACAATGACAAAATTTTAAGCAACAGTTACGGTATAGAGACGATCCAGGACATCCTTCCAGACACCAGCCTTGGGGGACCCGCGTTCTTCAAGGTGATCACCTCCAAAGCTGTCCTGAAGCTGCAGGCTGAGAATGCAGAAGAAGCTGCCCTGTGGAGGGACCTGGTCCGAGAGGTGCTCATGTCCTACCTGGAGGGCGCGGAGGAGGCGCTGACACTGGGTGGCAGCTTGGACGGACACTCCCAAGTCATCCTGAAGAACATCGTGAAGGAAAACAGCTTCTTGTTGCAATACCTGGTGGCCATCCCCGTGGAGAAGGGCCTGGACTCGCAGAGCTTCATCTGTGCAGGTATACGTTGGCGTGTCCACAGACAAGAAAGCCAGCTCCATCTTGGAGGATGATGATGTGTTAATGAGGTGACATCAGATTAAAGAGGTGCCCTGAGTCCTGCCAACCCGTTGCAGGTCAGCTGCTGGTTTCCCCATTCAAACCCCAGGTAGCACCAAAGCCCCTTGGTGGGGTTTCACGTCCCAAATCAGCGGCACCTTTGGTGGTCCATGTGCACTGGGTGATCACCCCCACACTGAATCCCCATCCCAGCACTGATCCAACTGGGCTGCTACTGGGCTCCTCTTTAAGATGCGTATGGTATACGCAGTGGTGGTTCTTGGCTTGAAGGCGACCTTAGATGGACCACTTTGTGGTCCCAGCCTGCAGGGAAAGTGCAATCAAGAGCAAATGCTGTTTTTCCAGTAACGCAGCACAGGAGCAAATATTGCAATGGGTGTGACAAGCTGATTTTGCAAAACATTCGTTGAACCTTGCGCTGACGCCTCTCGGCAGGCAAGGTGGCCCTGGTTTCACAGGGTAACACTCGCTGACCTCCACGGGACGTATAATTTGCTCTTTACCTTGGCGAGTTAATTAAACTTCAGATTTCTCTCCTGCTTTGATTATATTACTTGTACCCTCCAGCAGGTTTGGTTTTTTTTAATTTTTATCTCTCTTGGGTTTTTGTCATTGTTTTTAAAATTTATATATATATATATTTTCCATTCTATTTGGCCTCTGCCTTCCCCTCCAGGCTCTGTCCTGCATCTTTCACCTACCCACAGATGGAAGCAGCAAGCCGAAAAGACAAATTCCCAGTTTTTATGTGTAGGTTTATCTTAGGGGCCTGGCTGCCGTGCTCTCACCTTCCTCCCAGCCTGACCACCCTGGCACAGGAGTGGTTTCCTTACCTGTCGGAGTAATGAGCAAGAAAACCTTTTTTTTTTTAATTATTAATTCAGAGAGGAACGACTGATCTCCATGAATATTTCTTTTGGGATGTGCTCCAGCTAGCCCAAAGCACGAAGGATGGGGTGGTAAAGCCTTCCCCAAGGTTCGCTTATGCTTGGTCAGTTATTTTAGAGAACCGAACTCATTAAAAATAGCATGAAGGGTTTTCCTGCCTTTGCGACTCTGAGTGAGATGCGCTTGCTCTTCAAGTCGCTGTAAAAACCCTGCACGTTTCCCCCGAGACACGAGCGGGGTTCCTCCTGGTTACTCACCGCTATAATAAAGGCTTTTTTTTGGCTTAATCCATCCTGACCTCATCCCTTGCAGATGAGCATCTCTTGCGGACGTGGTTTTGGTACCCAGCAGCAGGAAGGAGAAGGGCTGAGTGAAGGCAAAGCTGCTGGTAGAGGTGATGGGGCAGGCAGGCGGGCTTTAGGTTCTTCTGTAAACTACTGGGATGTTCTCCGAATTCACTTAAAAAAAAAAAAAAAAAAAAAAAAAAAAAATTGAACCACTTGATGGATAAAAGTGGGTTCAGGGATAGGCCAGATTGCTTTTTTTTTTTAATGGAGGAAAAAATGAAGCGGCTCCTGTTGGACCATCGTGGCTTTAAATCCACAGGGAAGGGACTGGGGACTTCTCACCAAATGTCCTACAAGTGCTTTAGCTGCTCTACAACCCTGCCAAAAACTTTCTTGCTCCATTCCTCCCTCCCAAAAGTTTCTCCCCCCATCCTGGCAGTGAGGGGAACGCACTCTCGGGGCAAATGGAGGAAAAAATGAAGCGGCTCCTGTTGGACCATCGTGGCTTTAAATCCACAGGGAAGGGACTGGGGACTTCTCACCAAATGTCCTACAAGTGCTTTAGCTGCTCTACAACCCTGCCAAAAACTTTCTTGCTCCATTCCTCCCTCCCAAAAGTTTCTCCCCCCATCCTGGCAGTGAGGGGAACGCACTCTCGGGGCAGACGGGTCCCCTCTCATCCCGTCATCCCTGCTCCCCACAGGCTGCTCCAGGCAGATCGGTTTCTCCTTCGCAAAGCCCAAGCTCTGCGCCTTCTCCGGTCTCTACTATTGCGACAGCTGCCACCGGGATGACGAAACAGTGATTCCCTCGCGCCTCATCCACAACTGGGATCTGACAAAACGAGGGGTAAGTCTGGGTTCGGTCGGTGCGGGCAGCAGGACAATGCTCCTGCATCTGCCTGTGCTTCCTGAAGGTCCATCTGAACGTTTCCACCATCAGCAGAGGTGGAGATGTCCACCCTACACCTCCCTCCGAGCCTCCTGGGCTGCTCCTTGGTGCATACCCACCTCTTGCCTCTCTCTCTGCCCCAGGTTTGCCGTCAGGCTTTGAAGTTCCTCACCCAGATCCGTAACCAGCCGCTGATCGACCTGAAGCTGGTCAACGAGAGCCTCTACGACCACGTGGAGAGGATGGGACGGATCCGGCGGAGCAGGGAACAGCTGAAGCTGCTGGGAGATTATCTCATCATGTGCCGCAGTGGGGCCCTGAAGGAGCTGAGCAAGCGGTGAGGTCCCTCTCTGGGTGACGTTACCCCGTTCATCCCCCTCTTTGCACCCCAGTGGTCTCCTGGTCCTCCTCCTCACGCACTGTTGGAGCGGTGAGCAATGCTGCCAAGGCGTGGGCTGGTTTTTACCTCCGTATCATCTGCTCGGAGGAGTTATCCGTCTGTTGGCTGGGTCAGCACGTTGAGATGTGACTCAGGAAACACCTTCCTGACTGAGGAGCTTCTGGCTGGACAGGAAACACCTGGGAAAATAGATGAGATATTTATTTTCTTTTTCCCCCGCTTTGAAATGCTCTCACACGATTTCCACCGGCAGGGTTTGGGATGTGTGGCATGATGTGAAAATCAGGTCTGCGGTGATTTTCTTCAAGAATCTGCATCGTCCAGGCTCACCCTTGCTCCAAAGCCATTGGAGATGTGGTGGAAACCATCTACCGTCTTCCTCTCTGTGCTTCTTTGCAGGCTTGATCACAGGCACTACCTCTTGGAATGTCCCCACAAATACAGCGTCGCTGATCTGAGGCAGGTGAGAGCTTTTGGCGTGGTCGTAGGGGTTTTGCTGGTGAAAACATCCCAGTTTCTGTCGAGTGTGGCACTTCATCATCATCAGTAGAAGGTTTCATCCAGCTTTGTTTTCTTTTTGCCTTGCTCTCATCTGTCATGTGCGCTCTGCAAGCTTGCACGTCAGCTTAAAGGCAAATAATTGCCTTTATTTTAATTTGCCAAAATAATTGGCACAAGCTTGTATCCTTTGAGAACTATGGCGATCACACCTAATAAATTGTTTCGCCTCTATTTAAGCCAGCGTTGCTGCCAACGTGTCTCCGTACGAACTTGTATCTATAGCAGATAATGTTGGAGGGGATGGGTGGTTGGATTTCTCATCGACTCCAAGCCCAGGATCCCCATCCCGGCAGGTTGTGGGTGCTGCTGTCTGCTCTCTGGGGTCCTGGTGTGACCCCGGCGCCTGTGTTTGGGGTTGGGTTTGGAGGACAACCTTGTCTTCATGTAGCAGCCCCAAGAATGGGCGTAATGTGGATTTTGCATGGTGCAAACCCCGTGGGAGACGGGCTGTGCTCCTGCTGACCTGTCTCTGCCCTGCAGATAGCCGACGGCGTCTTTGAGACCTTCCTGCAGTCTCTGCTCCAGTTTGCTTCCCATCACGTCTACAACTGCGACCTGTGCACCCAGCGTGGCTTCATCTGCCAGATCTGCAACAGCAGTGACATCATTTTTCCCTTCGAATTTGACACTACCACCAGGTGAGCAATATCTCCGTCACGTCCTGCTGCTGCGAGGCCACCCGAGCTGCTGGCCTGGAGCCTGGACCATCCCCTGGGTCCTTCTCTGGGGCTCTCCACTTTCTAGGCACGTGGCCCCGGGGTGGCCTGGAAATAGCTCTGAGCTGGTTGTGCATCCCCATGGTCCCCACGTCCTCGTGGTCCCCGTCAGCTCCGAGCTGTTTCCAACCAAAACTGAGCTGTTTGTGGCAGGAGGGGACCATCCTTACAGAGCTGAGGTGTCGCTCAGTCCAGCCCCTTCCAGGGGTTGCAGGAGGGAAGGAGAAGCAGCGGTGGGACTGTTCGTACACCCCTCCGCAACCCAGGAGGGGAGGAAGGACGGACGGACGCGGATTTGGAGATAAATGGCGGGCAGCCCTGTGGGATGTGCCGGGGAAAGGCTGGGGACGTCCCCAGCAGGACGAGCGGATACTGGCTTCCATCTGGGCTTTTCTCCTGCCCGCAAAGCTCGCGGTCTTTGCAGGCAGGGCCTTGCCTGCAGCGGGGTCAGCTGCTGCACGGGGTTCGGATGTTGACATCGGATAGTCTTCTATGATGGCATCGTCGGCTGGGTGGATGAGGGGAGAGCAGTGGAGTTGTCTACCTTGACTTCAGCAAGGCTTTTGACACCATCTCCCATAACAACCTCGTTAGCAAGCTTAGGCAGCGTGGGCTGGATGAGTGGACGGTGAGGTGGGCTGAGAACCGGC